CCCTCCCTCCCTCCCTGGCCTGCTTCAAGCAAACAGCTCCGGCAAGCTAGTTCCACTCTCTCTCTCTCTGTGCCTAGCCTGCTTCCAGCAAATGGCTCCAGAAATTACTCTCACCCTCTATCCCCCCCTGCCTGACCTGCTTCAAGCAAACAGTTCCAGAAACTACTCTCACTCTTTCAATCCCTCCCCCTCTCGTCTGGCTTGCCTGTAACGAAGCAAAAAAAGCAAACGTGAAAACCCCAGCTTCTTACTGTCTCTTCAATCAGCTGGCTCAGAATGGCAAGCTCCACCAAGCCTTCTCTCTTCCTCCCTTCTATCTTCTTCCTCCTCCTTTTTCTTCCCTCCTCCGAGCCACTCCATGCCGCCAGACCCATAGCAGCTGCCGGAGCTCCTCATCTTCCTGCCTAATCGGCAGGGCTCCTGCAAAGCCTCTCAACTGGCCCCATTCTCATCCCAATTCTGCTACATATAATTCATACTATAATTATAAATGTGTTTGAACACATGCCTCCTAGATAGTTCCAGATGGAGGACACTTAGCACTACCAATAAAAGCATCCCATATTTATTCTGCCCTCCCTCTTTAACAAATATTTTGTAATATGAGAAAAGATAGAAAAATCACTGAGAAAAAATAGGAAAATAATACAAATGGAAACTGATACTCTTAAGGTAATCATATATGCATGTTACATTTGGAACGTTCCCTTTAATCAGTTGACTCGAAAGCTAGTAGCATTGTTGAGAATAAGTTGGTTACATGAATTGGTTTGAATACCATGGTTTTTTTATTTTAAAATGTACTCTCATTCTATTACTTCAGAGGCTGTCAGAATTGTACTATGACATCCATAGATCCTATCTGAAAGTCGCAGAAGTTGTGAATTCTGAAAAACGCTTATTTGGACGATACTACCGTGTGGCATTTTATGGCCAAGTAAGTGACTACTGTGGGTGAACTTTAAGCTAAACTACACATTTCCCAATGAATTCTCCTTTTAGAGAGATTGCAGTAAAAAACACATTCCACAGGTGAATATCATAGGGGTTGGACTAGTTGACTTGGTATGCTTTCTGTATTGAATATTTATCTATAGTAATATTCATGGAGCAAAATGTAAATTTAGAGTCACATAAAAATAGAAACAAAATATTAGTAGTGGCAATGAGCTGTAAGAATAGCTTTAGAGGTTTCCTCACATTTAGGTTAAGCTTCTACTTTCTGATTTGGCAATGTCCCATTGAAGTGAATAGACCAATGTCTAAATAAATATGCACTAGATCAAGACCTAAGATTATATTATGACAAAGAATTACCACCACCACCCCAATTAGCCACAGTTTTAGATAACAGTTCATATTTATGATTAGTATATTTTGATCTTCTGCAAAAGGTTTGATAGTAAGACACAGAGGAGGTTATCCCAGTTGATATCCCATAATACAAGTTTAAAAGATTTATATTGCCAACGTTATTATATACTATGGCCTGGGCAGCTCACAGACAAATTCATTTTTCCTTAAAGCAGAGATCAGAAGGAGCCTCTTCATTATAACAGCTTGTCATAGTTTGATACTATTGATTATTAAACAAATAAAAGGAAAATGAAGATAAGGCAGTGCAAATATAAAATATATGATGGTATCCAAAATCATCCTTGAAAAAAGCTACAAAATAATTGAAGATGTTTTTTCTCCTAATTGATTTGAAATCTATAATCTTTATTAGATATTAGTTTGTGTAGACATTCTAGCTTTGCTTTTTAGTTGGCTTCTGATTCTTGTAGTGCATTGTAGAAGGCTTGCACACTACTCCATATTTCTGCCTACTTATTTTGGTTATAGTATGTGTACATGCTTGCTTCCACAAGACATCAGATGGGACAACAGGCATGTTCTTTGAGGATGAACTTTCCAGGGAAACTTTCCCTCTTTTTTAAAAAAAAATATGTATGAAATCAGTTCTGAATAATGTTGTCTGCCGATTAGTTTTTAATGCAGAAATCTGCTCTTTTCCTCTTTTGAACTTATTCAAGGCTGTGGTAAGTTATCTATTCTTTTGCATGCTGTTTTGTTTAATTCTTCCTACATCATCCTACTTGTATGATCTTGGTTAACCTTGATTTCTAGCACTTTTTAATATTCACTGTGAGCGATGAAATAACATTGCTTTCACTCATTTATATACTGTGCTGCATCTAGCAAATAATGCTTTTGTTCTGCTTCCTTGAATTATAAAGATGTATCTGTTCCTGTGGCGTTCATGTACTTGAGGCTTAAATCTGTTCCCATTCTAATGGAAGCAGGTTCAGCTACGTGTTTCTTATCTGAAATGCCCACTGCAAACAGCCTTGCTGCCTATGTCCTGGCAGAACAAGCAAGGTTTCCCAAACTGCGAGGTGCACCTCCCTTGGCAAAGTGCACGGGAGGTGTGAAGAGACTTTTAGTTGTACATTGTTACAACACATTCACCTTTCTCAAAATTTAATTGTATTGTTTTAATTGCTCATTTGTCTCCATTTTGGTGTTTGGATTTTTCAGGGAAGATCTATACATTAAGACTACACAGGCAGGTGCAATGGCAAAAAGTGTAGGAACTCCTGTGCTACATTATACTTGCTCTCAGTTACAGTAAAAGTATATTACCTTTTCATGCATGCCTGATAGTTTTGCCCTTGGTTTACTACTTTGGGGTGTACATATCAGGTTACTCAAAAAAATGCAAACCTTTGTCATGTAGCTTTCATCAACATGAAGCCTTTCAGATGCTTGCACCACACAGACTGGCAAATATCAAGTTGTGGAAAACAAATAGAATGACAATACATAAACTTTGATTTCCCTGCAACTAAATATGAATATCTATTCATTCATAGGTAGATTGCCTAGTCATTGTGGGCACCAGTAGCTCTCCCAACACACTTTAGTATATTATCTTTCTTCAGAAATGAAAGATCTTACTTTATTAATTGGCTATAGTGATTTACCTAAAAATCCTGTTACTTTGAAATCAACTTGAGTGTGTTGACACCCTTTGTTCAATTAGTATCTTTATTTTTTCCTTGATATGTGTATTGCAATAAAATGTATTAAGAGTTGATCGTGATCTAAAAGAACCCATAATTTTTATACTAAGGCAGGGGCTTCAAACTTGTACCTCATGTCCCACCAGATCTGGCAGAGCAGGCGTGCTCCAGTTCTCCCCCCCCCCCCCCCGCCGCTGCCATGAGACAATGTTTACTTGGTGACTCCTAGGAAGTGTGTCTTCATGGCACCTGCCCTATTAACTCTGCCCTTTCAGAGATACAGCCCCAGCCTTATGAATTTTTCAGAAGGCCATGAAGATCTGCCTCTTCTCTCAGACTCTGGGGCCAGGGTGGAATTTCTGGAACTTTGACATGGATGTGGTTTTTTTGTTTTTTTTTGCAATTTAAAATGAGGCAGGCTTGATCTGTTATGTTTTATCATTGTTGATGGTTTCTACTTTTGTTTGCTGCTCAGAGTTACTTTGATAGATGGGTGTCTTTATAAATTAGATCGATTCTGAAGATAAATAGATTTTCTGCATCCACGGCAATACTTTGTAACAACTCAGGTCAGGGTGGTGAGCATCATATAGATGCACAAGCTTCCAGGTAGAGGTTTCCTGCTGACTCACCTCAACCTGATCCAGCTGGTTTCCAGGCTCTACAAGTAGCTCGACTCTTCAGGAAGCCTCACTCCCTCTTCCATGCCATGGCAGGTGCTGCTTCAGAGGCAGCACTAGGCTCCCACAGCTGTATAAAGGCTTGAAAAAGGAGGAACATGATCAGGGAAGATAGGCCAGGAGTTTGGGCCTGCCTGAGAGAGGGATGGAGGAGGGAGTTCAAGGAAGAAGATCAGCTCTGCCACACTGTGAGTCTCTCTGCTAGGCAAAGTATGGGAGAAAAGGGACGGGAGGGAGGGAGCCAGGCAAGTAGAGAGAAGGGAAGTAAAAGAGAGGGGAAAAAACCAAAGGAAACAAAGATCTTCTTGTTCAACAGTAGAGAGAAGAGCTTAAAGTAATATATGTTCCTATATTATCCTTGATATTATTTTGAAAAGTATTATATATAAATCTAGTAATACAACCAAATAATGGTTCCAATAATAAAAAGCACTGCCAGCTAAATGATCAGAAGACAGAGTTGGAAGGGATTTTGGAAGTCTTCTAGTCCAATATCCTACTCAAGCAAGAGACCTTATACTATTTCAGACAAATAGTTGTCCAATTTCTTCTTAAAAATTCCCAGTGATGGAACGTTCACAACTTACTGGAGGCAAGCCATTCCACTGATTAATTGTTCTCACTGTCAGCAGATTTCTCCTTATTTCTAGATTAGTTCTCTCCTTGATAAGTTTCTATCCATTGCTTCTTGTCTTGCCTTCAGGTGCTTTGGAGAATAGGTTGAATGCTTTTTCTTTGTGGCATTGGAACACAGCTATCATGTCACCTCAGTTCTTCTCTTCGTTAGACAACACATACCCAATTCCTGCAACTGTTCTTCATGTTTTAGCCTCCAGTCCCCTAATCATCTTTGTTGCTCTTCTCTGCACTCTTTCTAGAGCAGGCATGTCAAACTGCCAGCCCACGGACCAGATGCGTCATGCCGAAACCGCACCCATCCCATTGCCGGGAATGGGGAAAAAGTCACGATACATCGTGCAACATCATGTGACGTCACGAGTTTGACATGCCTGTTCTAGAGTCTCCATATCTTTTTTTCGTGGTGACCAAAACTGGATGCAGTATTCCAAGTGTAGTCTTATCAACATATTATAAAGTGGTATTTCACAAGAAACTCAGACTTTAGTAAAGATTTTTACTGAATCCATTTATTTTAGCATTTGTTCCAGGATACTCTTCATTGTATTCATTTTTTTACTAACAAAATAGTTTTGTGCAGCACCTTCCTGTGACAATTTGAGTTTGACAGCACTGTCCCAGATAATTGAACCAGAGTATACTGTAAGTAACTTCACCTTGTACTAAAAATTAACCAAGGGAGCTAAACCTTTTTAACAATCTGCAGGCATTTCACTAGCCCTAAGCATATGGTTGATAATTTATTACTCGCTGTATCTTATAAGGAGCAAATATATTTCACAACATTTCACAGTGGAATATTTTACATAAACATGCAGAACTGGCATTATGTGACCCTATTTAATATTTAGGCACACATGAGCAGCATTTGCCGTTATATGAAACTAATTGTTTCCAAGGGAAAATAGTTCAATGAAAAGTGCATCGAGGACTGCAATTTCATGGTTCATTAAAATACTGCTGAAATGCAAAAATGTAAATGAGAATTACAAGGATTCTCAAAGAAACTATGTTAAATTCCATGAAGTAAGGACAAACACAGGACTATCTCAAATTAAGCGAAAGTAATACAATTATGTAAGCCTAAGGATGTTGTGAACATTGTATAGTTTCACAAAGCTCCTGTTTTTTAAAGCTACCTCAAAATGTCTTGCCAGTTAGTAAAGACAGAAAACATGAATTGTTTTATGATGAAAAGAATAATGAAAACAAATTGAGATTATAAAAACATCAAGATTCTTTCTGATAAACTAAAATGAGCTTATAGAAAGAACACAGTATTATGCAGCATTCATTTTCAATACAAGAGCAACAAAGATGATTAGGGGACTGGAGGCTAAAACATATGAGGAACGGTTGCTGGAATTGGGTATGTCTAGTTTAACGAAGAGAAGGACGAGGGGGGACATGATAGCAGTGTTCCAATATCTCAGGGGCTGCCACAAAGAAGAGGGAGTCAAGCTATTTTCCAAGGCACCTGAGGGCAGGACAAGAAGCAACGGGTGGAAACTAATCAAGGAGAGAAACAACCTAGAACTAAGGAGAAACTTCCTGACAGTGAGAACAATTACCCAATGGAATAACCTGCCTCCAGAAGCGGTGAATGCTCCAACACTGGAAGTTTTTAAGAAGAGACTGGACAGCCATCTGTCCGAAATGGTGTAGGGTTTCCTGCCTGAGCAGGGGATTGGACTCGATGACCTCCAAGTTCCCTTCCAACTTTATTATTATTATTATTATTATTATTATTATTATTATTAGTAGTAGTAGTAGTAGTAGTAGTAGGGCAATTTTAAATTGACTTTGACTTTGACAATATAGAGATAATGATCTGAATTTTAAGGTATCAGATTTTGTTATTAAAAAGGGACCATATTGGCAAAACTGACAATATTGTATTCTCCTCCTCTATTACCATGAAGTTAAATTAATATTCCTCGGTCTCCTAATTTTGCATATATTGACTTGAATCTAGATTTTTTTTCACATATTCAAAAGAAGCTTCAGTTGCAGATAGGAAGGGGAAGCAATCTTCAATAGTCTCCCTTTTTCATGTTATTTTAGGACTTTCCTCAGTTTTCTGTATGCATTTTGAGAGAACTATTGAGTAAAAGAAGAATCAATGCAAGTGATCTTCCAAGTACAGGAATATTCTAAGGATATATTTGTAGTATCTATGTATTTGAATAAAATCAATAGTACTAAAAAAATTATTACATATGGACCTAGTAAACATCCCTTGGCAAGGTATTTCAGAACTAGGTTCTATGTGTCATTAGCTTCACCATCTGATAGACGCTGCCCTTACTGTGTTGGTGAGATCTTCCAAAGAGGCAACTGATAACATTGTGTCAGTGCAATGTAAATGCATCTTTTGGTGAAGGGTTAATGCCACCTGCCTTGAAAGAGGAAGAAGAGTGGTTCCACCTAAAGAAATTATAATTCATCTTACCAATACTGGGTGACAATTGAGATCTCCAATCTCCTCTTTCAAAGGAAGGTTGTTGAAAAAGCTGCTTGTGGATGTGATACAATCTTCTGGTTGTCATCTTTAAAGCCATTCAGGACTCAAGATCTAGATATATTTGATACCCCTTTCTCCGAGTAGGTTCTCTCCATCCAGTAAGATCAGGTCAGAGGAGTTCCTTCCAGTGACCTCAGAGGTAGATATTTTGAGTTGCAGTTCTCTTCTGTGAGCAACAGTCTCTCTGAGATCTTTTAGGAATACAGGTAGTCTTTGACTTAACAACAGTACGTTTAGTGACCATTCAAAGTTACAACGGCATTGAAAAAATATTATTATTATTATTATTATTAAATATTGTTTCATGGGGAGTTACAGGTTCAGCATCATGACTTCAAAGTGCTAAAGGTCACAAAGAGAATGAGCAAGAGAAACAGTTTGGTGTAGTGGTTAAGGCATCAGACTCCCAGAAACTGGGAAGCTATGAGTTCTAGTTTTGCCTTAGACAGCTGAGTGATCTTGGGCCAGCCAGTCACTCTTGCAGCCCTAGGAAAGAGGCAATGGCAAACCATTTCTGAAATCTTGCCAAGAAAACTTCAAGACTGACTTGCACACACAAAAGGGGTGGAGGTTGGGTTTTGTTTTGTTTTGTTTTGTTTTTTACAAACATACAAATGGAAAGTGACTGCTGTATAGACCATTGTTTATCATTTGTGAATAAATGAGTCTGGGGCCTCTGAATGCAGAAATGTGATCGTGTTCTGTGACAAATGCTGGCATCCTCCCAGTGCAACAGCAGATAAGCATCACCTCTCCCCCTCAGTCTCTTCCCACGCAGCCTCAATAGAGTTGGTGAGGGAGCTGACAGTTCAGTGGGCTGGCACTGGGCTCCTCTTCAGTTAATGTCCCTTCCTGTGGAAGCCCCACCCCTGAACATGCATCCCAGGAAAGGCATCTCAGAGTTCTAGAGCAAGTCATGCAAAATAAATAAAAACATTACTTTCCCGGTTTTAATAAAAATAACAATAGCAGCACTGACAACTAATTTTCATTAACTAGACTAAACCAGGTAAATAACACCCCATGTGTATAGTTAAATATGAAAACTATGTATTCTAATTTAGTTGTCATTTCCCAAATACAAAAAGGGAGTAAGAATTCTAGAATGTCCTCTATCAGAAACATTTTCCGCTTATTTAAATTGTTTTGAGACTATCTAGGAATTCTTTGACAGCATTACTCTATTATATAAGCTCAGAACGACATCCACGGTGATATGAATATGAAAGGATGTGTATGTGTACATGAATCATAGCCAAAATCTGCATACACAACAAAATTTCATAAAGTACTGGATTGCATCAATAGTTCATACAATGAATAGTTCATAGGAGTGGTGTATTTATAGATTGGAACTACTATGCAGCTTGCTATTTTAAAAAGGCACAATGCTAAAAGCTATAACTCAGAAAAAATTAGTACTCCCTATGGGCATAGCTGACTAACAAACCAGCTGTGTGTAATTTTTTCAGAAGCAAGCAACTCTCTTCAATGAGAACACAGCTTTCTGCCTAATAAAAATAAATCAGTTTAGTTCCCCAGAATCAACTAACAAGTAATACATGGCTTCAAAAGCTAGTACATTATTTTAATTGCAGAATTGTCCTCTTCCCCACATACATACAACAGTAGTTTTTAGAAAGAAAGAAGAAACTAATATTTAGTTCCAATAATTTTCATTATCTTTACTGAATTCTACCACATGGTGGCACACTTGCTGCAAAATGTGGGTGTACCTAATATAAAACTCCAAGGATGTTTTCAGTCACATTTCACACAGGCTTTTTCCCCTATTAGTAAAAGTTGATATTCATCCTGTGCAAATGTAGAAGTTTGGTTTTAAATGCATTCCATTTCTTCATCATGCATAAGCTGCAGCATTCAAAAAAATTAATTTGTTATACTTAGCAGTTGAGTACCTTATATTTTTCATCCACAGTATGTTCTTAAAGTGGTTTTAATCATACTCAGTTTACTGTAATTGTTATGATTTATCTTTTAATCAGGGCTTTTTTGAAGAGGAAGAGGGTAAGGAATATATTTACAAAGAGCCCAAATTAACAGGCCTATCTGAGATCTCTCAGCGACTGATGAAACTTTATGCAGACAAGTTTGGAGCAGACAATGTGAAGATAATCCAAGATTCCAATAAGGTATGGTGGGAAATGTCCACAGAATTTTTTTTTTAAAGCATTTATGCTATTACAGAGTTGGTTGCCCAGACACACTTAAAATAAATGAAACATTCTTTTTTCACAATGAGCCATGCTCACTGCATAAATTCAGTTAAGCTCAAAGCACAAATGACTTGGAACCAATGAAGAGGAATTATGAATCTGGCATGGCATAACCACTGCTGTGGCCATGTAATTATGTATATTTCATCTCTCTGATCAGAAATATTATAATGCCATTGATAGTAATATAAACATTTGTTACATGCTGTGATTTGTAAAATTATGTACATTAATTACCCTGTTATTAATTGACTAAAAGTGGTGGGTCCTGAAATTTATTATGGAACTGCCAGCAGCAAAGTCTTTCTTAGAAATCTTTTTTGTTCATCTAAGGAAAGGGTTCTGCTCCTTTTATGCTCAAAAATATCTGAAAGCAAAGAAATCTATGAATATATTATCTTTTACAATGTCTAAACAGTCTTTCTGTAATATGCCATAAAAAGCAAGAGTCTAGGTTTTTTCCCCTTGTCCTTTTGCTGTCTCTAACTGCTGCATTGTCTTCCCTTTTGTTTGTATAGGTTAACCCGAAAGACCTAGATCCTAAATATGCATATATCCAAGTAACCTATGTCACACCCTTCTTTGAAGAGAAAGAAGCCGGAGAACGTAAGACTGACTTTGAAATGCATCACAATATCAACCACTTTGTGTTTGAAACGCCGTTCACCTTGTCAGGAAAGAAGCATGGGGGCGTAGAAGAGCAATGCAAAAGACGGACAATTTTGACAAGTATGGACACTGCATTCTTCTTCACAGCAGGGCTGGGCAATTTCTCAGGGATGGTGGGCCATTCTCGGCCTCTGAACCTTCTGAAAGTCCACAGAAGACCATTGGATAACCACTCCCTTCCCAAATACCAATGACCTAAATTGCACTGTTTCATTTCAGTGTCATGATGTCAAAGTGCTAAAGGCCACAAAGAGAATGAGAGAGCAAAACAGTTTGGTGTAATGGTTAAGGCATAAGACTGAGTTCTGGTCTTGCCTCAGGCACAAAACTAGCTCAGTGACCTTGGACTTGTCTCTCCCTCTCAGTCATAGGTAGAAGGCAATAACAAACTATTTTTAAAAAATCTAGCTAAGAAAACTCCAAGGACTAGCTCAGGTAGTCAACAGTAATCAATGCTGACCTGTAGGGGCACAAAAAAAGTGAAGGGGCAGAAATTATTATTATAAAGTAAAGCCACCCTTCTCAATCTAAGTGACTCAGCAGAGCAATTAGTTATTTATTATTTACAAAAATTGTTAAAAATATTTTGTAGCACATTGCTAATTATTTAAGGGATTGTCACTGAATTGTCAATGGCTATGTTTCGAAATACGAATATGATATTCTTACACCTATTCTGGAATTTGATAAATGCAAGCAAGTAATCTTTTTATGGAGTATTTTAGAAAACTATAAATATACACCTACACACATGCAAACACACATACACACATACATACAATAGAATGAGCGAATGGAACTATTCATGGACTTATTGTATGAATTATGGCTTTTTAAAAATTATGAATATATTACATTATATTAAATAAATTTTCTTAGATGTATTTACCTTGTCTTTGACTGCAGCTAGCCATTTATTTCCATACGTGAAGAAAAGGATACAAGTCGTAAATCAGACCAGCACAGAACTGAACCCCATA